TTCCCCGGCTCCCTACAGAATGCGAGTGAAGTGAAATTAAATGCTCATCATATATCAGTAAATACAGTATATGTGTATCAGTAAATAACATCAGATACCAGTAAAAAGTTTGTAACAGACAATCACTCGGCATTTGTATGATATAAACAGCTTTCCAAGCTAATTTACAAGACAAAGCGTATATTTAATCTCCATTCACTGTAGGTTAACTTAGATGTGTGGGTAAATGCTCGTACGTATTCATTTTTATTTTTGCTTGGCTGTGCGCTGCCTTTTGGATTATGTACTATAAGTGTGCTGGCCCTTTAAGAGTGATTTTTTTTTCTTTCGTGCGTATCTCCACCCATGATTACACCCCCCACATGACAGTGACACATGACAGGAAACAGCGCCCTCTACAGTGGCCGTCCACTGGACAAACACTGGCACGCCACACACCATAAAATATGCCCAAGCCCTTCTCCGCTCTCCTTTGACTGCCTTGTCACATGCTTCCATTTATACATCATTTTGAATGTGTTACCCTCATGCCACTGTGGAAAAATACACCACTGTACAGTTTTTCATCTCCTTTCACCGTTTAATTTGCAGTCGTTTGAGTTTTACAGCTGCCTCTCTCCTTGGCCTCTCCTGTTTTAAAGCAGAGGGTGTTCAGGCTCCTTTGTGTGGTGACAGAATCATTAAAGGCCAGCTTACAGAGAAGCAGGTACCAATATCACTCTGTAGGCACCAGTAATGCGGCTAAGTGTGACCATTTTGACACAATATAGTGGCACAAATATATTGCAGAAAAGGCGTGGGTTTGAATGCTCCTGCTTACATACTTACACACACATCTATGCACATATACACACAGAGCTCCCACATCAAAATGTTTGGTCATTTATTGCTCAACCAGCCACCCATTTTTCATATCTGTCAAGAGCCACACATTCTCCCTCTGCCTTCTATTTTTTGTCTTTCACCAGACAATCTTTTCTCCCCATATTTGGAGCTGGTGGAGATTTTTGCATAGTTTTGCCTTTTCCCTGGATACTGTCTTTTCATCAGTGGCTGACTTTCCTTTTGAACTGAACCAGATCAATTTACGTCCAGACAAAGATACAGTTTCTGTGTGCATTGGAGAGAGAAAGCAGTAAGGGAAGTAGGATGTGCGCTTTATAACGGCCATCCTTGCATCCTACTTCTGGCTTTGTTTTATTGTTATCATAGTCATGAAGCCACTGCGCTGCTATGCACCCTGGCTCTGAATCCTCAGGCTATCCGTTCTAGCCTGTGGGCTGCAGCACTTTATAACCTGTATAACAAGTAAAAATGTACCTTTACAAAGATTTGTGATTTTTTTTTTCTTTTTCAGCACGACTGCTTATTCTGCAAGAAATGAATTGGTCCTTTTTTGATGCATTATTTATAGTTTTCTTCCCAGAGTTCTTTCTTGCAGCCAGTGTTGTTTCTTTCTACCCAGATGACATCGACAGCACAGCTCAGCCGGTATGCCACAAGGCACATGTGTTTGTGTGTGTCCAGGCAGACGGCAGAAAATGACTCCAGATCTCTATCTTTTTGCATTTAAACACAACCACAGAACAATTTGCTTGCTGTAAAGTCCTCCGATTAAACTGCTGATTTTCACTGGCTTGTCAAGTTATTTTACCATGGCAACACTGATTACAATGTTATCAAGTTGTGTATATGTCATGTGCTTTTGAAATTTGATATTGTCAGATGCATATTTTAGAAGTTAGTGTCTACAGTATAAATGTCATATCTCTGTCACATCTTGTAATTTTATTGTGACATGCAGTAATTATGATATAATCTTTACCTACGACACCATCTGATCTCTTGCACATGTGTTTAGAGTATAGTAACAGCTTCCGCAGTTCCAAACAGATGTGTGTTTGTGTGTAGCCTGCATCTGTGTTCTTACGTGCCCTAAAATATTTGTTAGTGCAAGCCATGCTACAAAGCAAAGAGCTCCACTTATGGCACACATTTACAATTTATCAAATAAATGGGATGCCTTCATGTGGCCTGGGCCTGTCTCTCAGGCAGAGCAGCGTAGTTTTCCACTGGAATAACAGCCACTGAACAAGCAGCCCATTGTAGCCACAGCCAGCACCAGGACCCCCAAGGTGCGAATTAATGATTGACCCCTGATGTAATCAGGATAAATAGCTCCCCGTAAAAGAGAAAGAGATGGTGAGAGGAACAGAGAGAGAAAGAACAACATAAGGAGCCAGGGAGAGGAAGGCACTATCTGGCCCGGGTGTTTTTAAGAAGCCCTCGGGGAGACGGACCTAGCATCTCTTTCCGGGTCTTTTGAGACCCAGAGCTAACATACAGCTGTTTAAAAGCACCTCAGTCGTCAGTTTTTACACTCTTTGCCTCCTCCTCTTCGTCTTCTTCCTGGCCCCTTTCATTATTTTCCTGCTTACTTTTCTCATCTGCAATGTTTTTTGGCGCCTGTCGAACATAGTCAACTTGTCCCGCACAGGGGAGGAGAGAAAAATGTCCCATTTTTTTCTCCAGGCAAATTTTTAATAAATTAACAAAGCTACAAATGAGAGCAGAGCACATTTATTATTACACTGCATTTGCCATTTCTGCATTGCTTTACTGTGTGATGTTTTGCTCATTTGAATTAAGATGGATTTTTTTTCTTGGTTGTCCTTGTTACTTGATTATTTGACATTACACTACATTTTTGTGCACAGAGACTGAAAGTATTTGGTATTTAATAGATTTTTCCAAGGTTGTCTTTCTGCATTTCAAAATTGCTGTGAATGGGTCAAGTGCCAGTGAGAGAGAGAGTGCGTATGTAAAAAAGTATTTAACAGCCTGAAAACACTTCTAAACTTCTAAAACTGGGTAAATTTTCCGTTACAATCACTGGAAAATCAGTAACAAAAGGCTGGATTATACTGCTGCACCTTTATATGATAGGTTTCCTGGATCTGTGGTTACAGATTTGCCAGGTGGTGACCAAGCCCTTAACTGAACAACTTTCGCAGGCCACATCTGTGACTGGGCAGAATCCCAAAAATATTTATCAAAGAATAAAAAGCTGATGCATTATACAATGAATGTGCATGTGTACAACCTCAGTGATGACTCTTTCTTGATTAACTCATTCAGACTTTCTCCAATTTAAAAGTAATGAATGTAGTCTGCATGAAACATGCAGAAAATTTTAGAAATCATCATCAAACTCATTATTTTCATTTCACTTCAGTTATACTATATCTCTTACTTTAAAGTTCAACCCACAAACTTTCATTGTGAGCTAATAAACTTCTGTGTACTAAGGAGCATTTATTTCTTTTTTCTTTTTAATTTTTTTTAATGGCTTTTTGCAGCTCCAGCTAAAACCTGGGAAGTGGTGGCAGATTTGACAACAGGCTAGACAGAGGTTAGCAGAGGGAGAGCTCTTGATTGGAACCACTCTGGTTGTAATTTTGGGTCTAGTTACTCTGCTGATTGCCAGTCTCCCTGTTTAGGTAGTAAAACTGCAGTGGAGCTTCGACTAAAGACACTGGGATCTGTCCAGAGACAATAAGTAGGAGATGTGCATAAGTCAGGCAAACACACACACACACTAATTTGTATATTTATACTTAATATAGTGCCAAATAAAACTGTCAGGTAAGACATCAAAGTACTTGTATAGCTGCTTTCGTTAAACCAAAAATTGCTTTTGCACAAAATCATGTTTGTATTCCTCATAAAAAAGGCACTAAAATGTATTGTTTGTATCAGTAAAGCCCCTTTCAGACATTCACTCCTTTTCATTAATCTGATGGCACCTGAATGTGCCGGCTTCATGTCTGAATGAGAGCCCTGGTCACGTTCCTGTAAAAGTTGTGACAATCTTATTATGTCATACCTAGTAACATTTACACATCACTTTCAACACAGGAAGTCTGAACTGTGCACAGCAGCATTGATGACAGGCAACACAAGATTATGACAATCTCGTGTATATGACAAATATCGCATGCTTACCATGGCATTCTCCATTATGAAGGGGGGTTTGAATGAAGCTGTGAGGCGCATTAACGTTAAAGTGACCTGTATCTGAATGACAGAAAGTGGTTGCTTTAACAGACTGATGAAGCCAGCAATGTTACATAACTTGTGGCTGAAAAGAGCTTATGAAAACACAGGTATCATTTCAGTGATGATGCTCAAAGAGGCACGTGATAATGGAACTTGCATATTTAGCTGTCAAAAATCCCAAATACCACAGACAGACTCTACAGGTCATCATTCGACATGATCAGAATCCTCTTTAATTGCCAAGTATGTGACATACAGGATCAGGCACAGACCGTCACTGTTCACAAAAAGCTATTTGATAGAATAATTAAAGAAATGGGGTGAAATTTAAAGCCAAATGTTATGTGCGTTCACACACACTAGTGCTCATCATCATCATTTTCTCTCATGTTGGAAAGGAGTTGCTGGACAACAACCACAACCATGTTGTCAATCTCTGGATGAACAAAGATGGGTGATGATGCTAACCACATCAGTGATAGTTACAACCATTAGTTGAGTCCAGTGAGTGTGACGGAATAGAGAACTTTTGCCATCAAGGACTCAGATAGCCTAAAGCTGCTTCTCTTCATCTGCCTGATTCTTTTCAGATAGTTTCTGGAAAAGCTGTGAAATATGTATTTTATAACTGAAGGCCAGGCCCGCTAAATTCTCTCATTACACAGCGTGGTTTTCTAACAGTTCAGAGGTTGGGAGATTGAAGTTGAATGTTATTTTTGTAAGTTAGACTCGAGAAGTTGTTGGATGTGTAGTGACCTTCTGAACTTGCAGATGTGACTTAAAGTGTTTCAGGCCCTGCATTTCAAATTCTGAGATTAATAGTATAAATGTGGCTGGCAATACCTGAGCTTTTCATTCTTTCCTAAGATATTCCAAGTCATGTTATACCTCCTCTACTCGTCTTTTAATGGTTGTCTCTGTACGTGTTTTGCTTCTCTTAGATGACAGTGAGCCAGTGGACAGCATGTACGACACAGAGACTGACCTCCCAGGTTTAGCGGCCAGCAGCGGAGGTGGTGCAGACAGCCCAGAAGACGATGCAGAAGACGGCGTCATCAGCATGTCCCCCCTGCCCTCACCGACCCCTTCCCATCCGAACAGTAACCACCACCACCTGCTGCACCCCCACATCTATGCCACCCACCACCATCACCACCTGCACAACAACAGTAACAGCAGCAGCAATGACCAGGACTTCACCATGCCTAAGGAGGGGTCGCCCTACGAGGCGCCTGTCTACATTCCGGATGACATTCCCATTCCCAGCGAACTGGAGTTGCGGGAGTCCTCTGTGCCTGGTGCCGGCCTTGGCGTATGGGCCAAGACTCACATCGGTGCTGGCGAGAGGTTTGGTCTGCATAGCACACTGCATCACGGGGCCACAGGCAAAGACAGCTCCTTTGGATGGGAGGTAGGAACCATCCTGGCATCATATTGCTTTGTTTTGAGTTGTGTTTTCTCCTTCCATTTCACTATCACTTTCACTACTTACATATTTTGTGGCACAAAACAAAAATATACAGTACACTGTGGAACGAGAAGCAGAAACTGTGAAGCCCACTGAAAAGTGTCTATCCCATCATCTGCATCAGTGCCTTTTCCATTTGCATCCCTTGTATGATCGGACCTCATCTTTGATCCTTGCACATGCCGACACACGCACACATACAAAATACACTCCAGAATTTCCGCAGTGCAGCAATGTCAGATGGAAAAATCTGGCTGATTAGTGGATGTATCAGCTTTTCTGGGCTTCGGTTCGAGCAAGCGCACCCATTTGGTCATGCCACACGATATGGAAATGGAAGAAACATAGCCCATTGCAGCGGCAGCATATTGAACTATTAATTTTCATTTCAACATGACATTACAGGATATTGAAGTTGCTTTAGTAAGCTCATTAAGTAAAAAGGCCCTCCTGATCTCTGCCCGTCTCTCTCTCTCTCTCGCTGTCTCCCTCTGGTTTTCTCATATGCCTAATCAAAGATGAAATATATTGGCCTGCTTTTCATTTTACTACCCCCATGACTCATCATTTTTAGGAGGCCTTCCACTGTGTCTTTCTCATAGTCTCACATTACATTCATATGTAGTAAGGTACAGACATTTGAACAAGTTAATCACTGGAATTCTGTTTGAAGGAACATACAATAGTGTGCTTGAATTAGACACCATCAGCTGATGTAAGATATGGACCAAAAGGCCATACAAAGATTTTGAGAGATTTTTCACAGAATTTTAATCTGGTTTCTGGTAATTGTGTAGTTAGAAATCTATACAAATTGGGCATTTTAAGAAGATATTTTATATTCATGGTAGCATGACAGACCACAAATTGAGATACAATGATCAAGTTTACTTGTAGAGCCAGGAACAGTTGTTGTTTAGCTTACACATCCCATATTGTGCGCTACAATCAAAAAAGCAATGGGACTTTATGATAATCAAGATGCGACACATGCCTGCTACTGATATAGTTCAGGTAAGTTAAGAGAACTTGCATCCTAGGAACAGGAATAATTATTTCATGAAATATGATTGCTCTAATTTGTTCAGTCTTGTATTCAATAAGTTAAACAGGCAACAGAAAAATGGGTTTGAAGCTAGTAGAGAGTGTAATTATAGAATTAAAGGTGTTTACAATGGACATTAGTAGTTACATTTGCAAAGCACGGAGCTATTTTTTCACAGTTGCTTCTGAGAAAAAAACGTTAATATAATATCTCTTAAAAACTTTAACTTGTATTATAAGTAATTTTAATAATCCCTAAATGACAACACTTTAAAGGAATGTGTAAATGCTCTCTTGATAGGTTCATTCTGGTGGTTTCCATTAAAGCCTTTTTTAACTCAATTTTCTTCCTAACTGTTGTAGGGAACATGCTGGCAATTAGGGCACACAGGCACACGTTATGTGGCGTTGTGCCAGGCTGAACATTTTTTCTTTTTAAAGTTCATATTATGGCTAGCCATTCTGGGTGCAAAGGGCCGAACTCCAAAAGCTACACTCTCCCCGTAGCTCGCATGTTTTTCCTCCTCCTCCCTTTTTTCTCACAAGAGACCTGGCTAATGCATATTCATCAGCTAAGCTTCAGCTCGCTGGCTTGGAGGACAAGAAGCCACCTTCAGCTCTAAAGAGATACATTCACATACTGTATGTGCTCCCAGAAATGCTCTGGCATATACAGTACACTCACATCCCTTCCCAAAAACAGAGAGATTCAGCATATTGCTGCACTATTAAGATGCCTAGTTTAGGGCCATTTAATTTGGATGGACAGATACTTCAGCACTTTTAAGGGAAGATTCCAGTCATCTGATCACCATATCACATAGATTTTCTTTTTATTATCTTTTCATCATTTATTTCTCCTTAAGGTAAAATCTTCGGTCTTTGCTCTCTTTCTCCTGATTAGTTCTTATAAGACTGTTTCTGGCTCAGGCTGAATTATTTTTTTAAGATATTCTTTCTGGTTTGAGGCTTGAAGCCTTCAGGGGCTCTCCTCTCCCAGACTCTTATCTCAGATAGTCATAACAGTCAGCCTGTTGATAGTCATCAACAGACTCCCCTAGGAGTCCCATACACCCCCTTCATGGCCCCTTTCACCATTTACCCCTCGAATCATCTGCAGCCTCTGGTCTTAGAAAAATAGACAGGCCAGGGAGCAACAGAAGTATGAAAAAAGATGACAAATGAAAAAAAGATATGTTAAAAGAAATAAGAGAGTAACAATGATTAATGGGGATGTAAGAAAAGAAGATGCAAACAAATTCTCACAGCATCAGGAACGCAGGAGGGGCTACACTGCTCACTAAAACTGGTCTCCTGCCAAAACGGGGAAATGTTATGAGAGATGATGTCATCTGAGATGTAATTGTACAGTACAGTATAGTACACTGCAGCTCAGCCCGTCTTGGGAGGAAGATGTTACAGGATTACATGCTGATTTTAGTTTAACTATGCTTTCTTTTTGTGATAAGTTACAGTAAGCTGCTGATGTTGGGTGAAAGCATTTTCTACAAGACTCTAACAGCTGTTTGTTTTTCTCTTGACGACGACATCAGTTAAGTTGAATTATTATAAAATCAGAAGTTCTAGACTGTACCTTACATCTAATCCTTAGAAATACAAAATACCAAAATTGCAGTTAAAGGTTTTTGCCTGTCAACAATGATGCAGAGCATTTGCAGTATTACACTTCAATTCAAAACTGTTTAGCTTCAGTACATTGACTGTAATTTTGTGGATTTTTCACTAAGACTGGCAATAACTCATTATGTTGGCTTGCATGCACTACGGTCTACCGACGAAGCCAAACGGCTCTATCATGCACATGGTGGATGGTGTAGTGCTTTCTGGATATCTGAGTGTAGATGTTGATTGGTGGAGAAAAACAGAGAAAGAGAGAGTGACAAAGTAGGAGTGAGTGAAAGAAGAAAGAGGAAGGCAGAGAGGAAGCCTACTATTGTCTGCCCTAGGGCATCAGGGACTGGAAGAGGTGTTAACTCAGACTCATTTCAGTGAGACGGACAGCTCAATCTAAAAGCTGCTTTGCTGCAGGCCATGGCCATTCTCTTCTGTCTCAGACTCCTTCTCTGAGCCAGCACCGAGTCATCCATTTAAAAACCATTATGCTCTCCCGTTAGCACAACATGATAGAACGCCAGGGCCCCAGGTCTCCCCTATGTGTGTGTGTCCCTCTCTGGTTGTGTATGAGAAGGGCTGCCAGCTCCCCGGGGTAGGAAGGCCTGAGCAAGCAGAGTGAGGCGAGGCCCACAGAGAGCCCACTGTGGCAATCTACTGTCAGAGTGACTGCTGCTATTATCTTGCTGGTAGATTGGCCTGACTTGCCTATTGATAAAGACATGTCACCATACAATGGCTGGAGGTTGTGTGCTCTTCACTGACTGGCATTGAATGGACTGATAGATCTAACTCCCTTGGATATTTAGATGGCATCTGTGAATGTTGACAGGAGCAAAAACTGCATATATAGTTGTAGATAACAAATAATGTGAAATCCTCCCTTAAAGGCATATTGGTAAATGAATAAGAACAGCTTACAGCAATGTTTACTCTGATCTTTAGAGGAAACACAAGGATAATCAAACCTCTATTTGTATTCTGAACATGCATGAAGCAAACCAACAGTATGGCCAAGCCCTCTCAATGTAAAATTAATGGTGTTTACTTCTCCTTACCGTGTGACCACTGGGTGTGTGCTTGCATGTATGAATCATGGCTTTTGAAACTTCTCTAGCAGCGATTATTTTTGTCTTTTTACAGTATCTCTGATTTCTCCAGCTTCAGGGATTGTGGCAAAATCTCACCAAATCTGAAAACATGGAGTGTTGTCAGTTTTGATGATTTACTGGCTGCCAAACTTTCAATTGCCAATCGTGGTGCTTTGGCATTGTGAGTTTATAGAATGTGAATGGTGCACAACACGGTGCCTTCAGGATATTTGGCATGATAAAGGGGATATGACAAGGACATATTGTACATTTTGATTGCAGGGATGTGCATTGATGTATACCCTTTGGACAAGGTCAACATGAATGCTTTTGCACACAAAAAAAACACTTATCATAGACTCCATGTCAGCCCTGCAGTCATGTGTCTGTTTGCAGCAGTGGACCTTGGGGTGACTTTGTTGCCAGGCAAACTTCTTTCTCTCTGTCCTTTATTCTTTTTCTGTTTACTTTTTGTGTGGTGATTTTCCATATCAGTATCATTCATCCAGTGATGTGTGGAAAGAGGCAAAAAGTATGCTGGCTCTTCTGTTTACCCTGTTATTGACTTAGTGATATGCTAAGATGTCTGGCGGGCACTCTCATGTCACCAAGGTCCTACGTGACAGATACCCATGTGGCCATGGCATCATGCATCTCCCTCGCACTCTGTCAGCCACTAAATCTCAGACTTGACAGCTTGCTTTTCACACTGACACTGTGCTTCTTTTGTTCTCAAACTAATCGCCGAGCTAAGCTAACGTCCTTGTCTCCAAATGTTAGGGAGAAGAAGTCCAGGCACACCCCGACACTTATCTGTCCTGACCCACCTCTCGCCACCTAAAGTGTTTGCTCGCCTTTTGTGTTTTGCCTGAGGAGGGCAGATGGCCAAGTTTTTATGCTGCGAGATATCCCTACAGGGCATTCAAAGTGCAGCTTGCAACTTGTCTAATCTGTTTGCCTTTCACAGAAAGGTGTTCTTTATCTTGATGTTTGACCCTTAAGGTCCTGGTACCAAACTGATAGGGCAGAAACTCCCTACCAGGAGATAGTAGTCACACCGAGTGATTGTTGAATATGAGACAAAGAGAGAAATAGAGGGAGGGAGATATCGAGGTACAGAGTCATTTCCTGCTTGATATGACTAATGCGCTTTGCAGTGTTCTCACAGTGACAATC